GCTTCGTAAGAAAGGGGAAGTGGAATACATATGACAACATGCCATTTTTCAGTTTTTAATATTTCTAAAAAATATTTTATGTATATATTTTTTCTCATTTCACTTCAGCAATTAGACTATGTGTTCTGATCCATTCACAATACAATTCAGATTAAACATGAACTAAAGGCTGTAATGTAACAAAATAGGTAAAAAGCCAAGGGGGGTGAATACTTTTGCAAGGCACTGTATGTGTGTGCATTATATGCATGCGATGTATCTTCTTTTGGTGTTGTGTTATTACTCTAGCATCCCCCTTCTTTGACCACTAGGGGTTGATAGTGGAACAATCAGTGTTGCACTTTAGAGATATGGAACAGAATGTACAGAACACAGTGTACAAATACATTACACATCATGTTTATCATATACACGTACCACAGTGTCAACATGGAGGCCTGTTCAAAGTCATCTGAGAGATCAACACCTGCTGGACCTCCTCTGAGCAGCGTCAGCATTATCTCTTGGAATGTAAAAGCACATGATCCATGCGCTTTTGAGCAGGTTCGGCTGTGCTGTGTTTTCCTTCAGTGTGCAGGACAGAAATAATGAAGATATTTGGTTTAGTAATCCTGTGGAGAAAAGGGAAGTGTGAAGCAAATCAATTCAGTTTCTTTTCTACAAGCTGACCACCCACCAGAACAGCAGGGAGCCCAATGTGCAGGGGAGAGGATGATAGGCTTTGCTGACCTCTCACATGGCCAGCACTAAATCTACACCAGCAGCCAGGAATATAACCAGAGGAATGTCATTAGATCAACCAGTACATTATCACCTGAATGTCAAAAAGACAAAAGATTGAACTGAGCGTTGTACTGGTGCCCATCAGCTGGCTGACAACAGCAGTAATGAGACCACACGAGATGCTGAATCATACATGGAAACTTTGTTTTTTTGTTAAGTACAATCTCAAGGGAAACCTGTTGTCAGTGGTACTAAAAGTAGAAATATAATAGCAAACAGAAGTATGTTTTTAGTCTATATTATTGAATTAATTTTTAACTGGTGTATTTACACAGTGGTGGATGAAGTGTATAAGTGAAAATAATGATACAAAGTGTAAAATACATTGAAGCAAACAAGTCCTGTATTCAAAATGATACTTAAGTAACAGCACAGTAACAAGTATTATCAGCACATTGGACATTTAGGAGGATCTATTGGCAGAAATGCAATATAACATTCATAGATATGCTTTTCATTAATGTATAATCACCTGAGAGTTTTATAATTCCACAGACTCCGCCATGTTGAACCGCCATGTTTCTACCCCCCCTATAGTTTCTCTAACACGCTTGGACACCTAGTTAGTTGATCCTTGTATGTAAAATCTTAATATGCAAAGTAAACACTGTTAAATAAATGTAGTGAAGTAATAAAGTACAATATTTCCCTCTGAAATGTACAACTATAACAAAAAGAAAAACTTAAGTAGCTCAAAATTGGGCTTGAATAAGTGTACTTGTAAGTGTTAAGTGTACATGCACTACAGGATGTCTATCAACACTCAGAGGTCAGTCCTCCTTCATAACATCACACTAAATGCTAATTTGGAGTCGAGGACCTTTGCAGCAGGCACCAACTTGCATCTGTGCTCGTCCTTCTCAGCTCCCCATCTACAGTATCTTGTCACCCCCTCCTCCCACCCGCCCATGTCCACTGGTGTCCGAGTAATGCTCGTTGTTCAACCTCCTGCGGCGACTTGGATTGGATGGTGAAATTCCTCCGGCGTGAGGGGGACTGGACTTTATAAAGCTGATGCATGTGTAAACCATCACCGGACAGAATGGTTCCACCCCAAAATAGACCTGAATGTAAAGACAGAGCCATGGGAAGATGAAAACTGGATAGTCTTCAAACACAGTATGAAATGTGTTAAATGA